TCAGTCACAAACTATAAAAATCGATCAACAGACTGTATCACAGACGCGGTAAGCGGGATACTGCATTCTAAATCTTATCGGGTTCCAATCCTCTCATGAACTCATTTGTTGTATATCGTGTAATAATCCGAAGTATAAAATCCATCCCTGCAGTTCACAGAAGGCACTGCACCACCGGAAACAGCTCCGTATTCACTCGCATTCGAGGCCATTTTGAATGGAAGTATCGTACTAGACGAGTTGTAAAACAGAACGCCTTTGCAGTTATTATTTTTCGATTCGCTGCATAAAAGTCAAGAATTTCAGGTAAGCACTGAATTGATTGTGTAAATGTTGTGCACAAACTTCCTTTTATACTAAGCGGCAAGCAAGTGCAGCTCGTCAGTCCCCGGGGCTGCAATCGTCAATCTATTCATCTCACTTGTATCGTAATCCACAATGCCGGCACCAGTGTCGTCCTTTTGATGGCATGGCCCAGTCACCCGTGGTTTGCTAGAAGTGTCAAATGTGAGCTTTTGTCTTTTGGCAAGCGGTAAACGTAACCGCGACTGGTGTTCGCGGTATCACTTTAGCACGCAAGATTCACGGTTTAGTGAGTAATGACCATCCCTCGGGGGCTTCTTCTGTCCATCCATGAACGTGGAGCAAACAAGTTGGCAAGCAGCCAAACCGCTGATGCACAATGCACATACAGTTTGTTTATTGCACGGAAAATGCTGCACAGCGTCGACCATCTGTTGTCAGTCATATTAAATTTTTACTGATTTTTGACCGATCATAAAGTAAATTTTAAGTTATTTGTCACTTGTCAGTAAAGTTTTCTTCAGTTTCATCAAATCGAATCATGTAAGTTGTCACTGAAAAATTATTATTACTATGTTACAAAGTCCTGTCAAACCAGTTATATCTATATAATACGTAAGTAATATCACTCATTTGTGGTATGTACAGCACGTTCCGTGTTCAAACAGCCGTGTTTTTGTGCATTCACGAGGTAGTACATTGTCATGCTCTATATCTATATATATATATTAAATTTTTACACCATTTAAGTAGTTTTACTATGAGCTTATTTACTGCGGTAACAAAATTGCAGGTTTTATTTTTTTGAATGGCGAATAATTATCCTCTATTTGAGAAATTAACGCTTCTTTGACTACATGGTTTTGATTGCATCGACAAACGAGGAAGAGCGAGTTTCCATGGCGGTCATTCACCAATACGAATCAAGAGCCAATTAATAAGGTTTTTCGATTTTATTGTATAAATCATTGTCACCACATATGGGTGATCAAATCTTCTCGTAACAAACAATAAAGGGTTCCGAATGCATAAAATCACAGGCTTTTTTGCAATAGTAACATCTTTAAGAAACAACAAAAACTTTGTGGAGCAAAAACAGTTGCAGGAACGTATAGTACAAAACGGAATCGCGTCATGATCACAGGAAAAAGGTTCCACGAAATACTGGCACATTGTAGGACAATCGTAGGGCAGTTGTTTAACGTAACCACTCGTTTATTTGTTGTAGATAGTGTAATAGTCCGAAGTGTAGAATCCATCTCGGGAGTTAACCGACGGTGAGCCAGCATCGGACACCGTCTTTCCATTACTTGTGTTGCAGGCCATTTTTCGTTCCGTCGTGCCAAATAAAAACCGATGGCAGAAAAGAAATCTTCGACCACAAAAAAATTCGGAGTAGTGGCTAAAGTGCAGTTTCAGTTAAGATTCAAGTTCGGTTGCAGTGAAAATTATGAGAGAGAGATTGGCTTAACGCTTACTTATATTGCAGATGGCAGCTGCACGTGCAACTCATCGTTGTCCCCAGGGCTTGTGGTCGTCAGACTTTTGTCACGTTACGTTTGATCTTGATAAGCCGGCAACGGAAATATCCTTTCATTCAGGTGTACACTCATTTCACCAACGCGTTAAAGCGTTTCTTTAACAATTGTTCGTTTGACACCATATAACTGAGTAACACTGATGCAGACGCAACGGCAGCTGCGGTTCTCGGTACAGTACCTAGACACGACGGAGTGAGCGGCACTGTGTGTGAAGCCCGAGGGCACACCGCACTCGTTTCAAGTTCATTACCGCGCACTCACGCATGTGGATGATCTGTGCACATTATCAAGTTTATCTAGACACTAGACAGCATTAAATCAATAATTTTGCAAACACATGACGAAGCTGTATTACAAATAGCAGTGTTATATGATTAGCCGCGTATATAGATTCATACTTGTATAGTTTCCTTAATATGCACTAAAACTGTAATTACGCGCTAATTTCCCGTAACATTATGTCAATAGTTTGCTAACCTCCGGGAAACTATTCGCTTGGATTCGCCTTTAACAAAGTGATGTTTCCATTTCCCAAACCCTAACATGCCTGCAGACGTCGGCTTGCGTAGAGGCATCTGTACTTTTATCAGGAATTTTCACCAATTTATTTTAGAAGCGGAAACCTAAGTGTATCGTACTCTGTTTATAATGCCCTTGTATCGCATAGTTTGGAAATTTTCGTTATTGGCATTTAATGCTGAAAGCATTAAATGTCGTTAACGCAGAGCTCTCGTAGTGCTTGGCAACGAATTAAGCAGTTCGTTGAAAGCTAAAAGTATAGTCCAGGGCGTAGGGCTGCAATGAGAAAAACTATCGTTATACTGCATTTTGAGGTTTTGTTTGCATATTTCGCTTAACCCTCCCACCCGGCCCCTTGTTGATCGGTGTCATTCATCTCGTTGTTTCTTATTGTGTGCATTTTTTTTACGATGAATTATGGTGATTAAAGGGTGTCCGGCGCGGTGTGTGTTGATTTGCCAAGCGACCTGCGGTTGCCTTTCGTCGTCAATGCACCGTACGGACATCGCGCGGCGTAGACGACAAGCCCCGGTATCCTCAAGCGGCAAAGATTTACTTCCGAGAGCTCGATAAGCGTTAAATGGCGATTAAGGTTCCGATGTCCGGTTTTAACTAAACTACATGTAACTGTGTCTAAACTTGCTTCTGACGCAGTCTGCTCACTCTGCTGCCAAAGTACTGATTTTGGTATACTTACCATTTCCGGAGGCGCTTCTGTATACAAAGTGGCGACACTCAACTTGAAAAGAAGTTTCGCACAAATCAGTTCTAGCAAAATTTTGCTTGTTTTCTTCTTTTAGATTATTCTGATTTTGAGATTGACGGATGATCTACTGATGTAATACTTGCTAAAATCGAAAAATTAACCGAATGTTCGTTTCCTTGTATTAATGTATGTATAATCATTGCCACAACCGCAACAGTAACTCCACGTAATCCAACCAACAATCTGTTAAAAACTCACAGATTTTAATCATGACAGGATTACTTTGAAGGTATTAAAAATCTTTGGCAGGAGTACACTCAGAACTACTGTATTAGAAACTTTTGATCATCAAGTAAGTACAAACAAAAACACGCAGTTATCACAGAAAAAAATGCTCTATGGAATGTTGAGATTTGCAGGCATGGAAAGGAACAAATCCTGACGTCTTGGCATATTATTTATTATACACGGAATAGTAGAATCCATCTCTGGAATTAGCGGATACGGAGCCGGCAACGGAAACCGCTCCAATGTGATCCATTTGTAAGCTATTCTAACGTTTGTTGACCGCTTTGGCTCTATAGAGAGGCAAAATTCGAGGCACGTAAATATTGAGGATTGCAAAATTTTCCGTCCGAGTTTTAGCATTTCTGAGGAGACAGGCCGTGAATTGCGCAGTTGTCTTTATAACAAAATCTTGTTGTGCTGTGCATATAAATCGATTATGCCTTAGGCTATTCCGTGCCAAGGAGTCGTCAAAAGCTTAACGCCTTACGTTCGGACTCAGTCAGCCGGCAATCGAGACATCCTTTAATTCGGATGTACAGTCATTTTAAGTAATTTTAACCGACGTTCGAACGTGTCACTTATACAAAAATTCTTACGCAATACCGGTTTTAGCTTGACGCAGCCATCATGCAGACGTAACGGCAATAAGCAATAGTCATGTGCAGGCGGGCCTGAGAGATTCCCTGTACAACACTTGCGCCGATAATATTTCAGAAGAGATTGTACATAGGCATTTACAGAGGCGTAAGTCTTTTACGCTTGTATTACGATTTCTTCTGCTGGTTCAGCTATTATCCGCATACCAAAATGTAGAGAATCTATTTCTCTACAATTAGGTCCATAACTTGTTTAGGAAAATCTGAAATGAGCGATACAAGGAAAGTTTTACCGAAAATGTCTAAATCCCATTTGGGAGATCAGTCTGTGAACACCCTCGTTTGGCAGTGCCGTGCAGTAGCGCAGCACAAGACTATTTCGTTTAATGATTTCTGAAACTCTCTCATAAGGTTTTACTTGACAAATTCTACACTGAAATGTGGAGAAATAAATTCTCTACATTTCACTGCCTACCTGACAGTTACAATCTTTCCGAAAAACGTTGTAATCAACGAAATAACAATTCAAGCCATAGAACCCAGTGCTATCTCTCTTCTGAAACATTCTGCGCACATGTGCAGTACTGTGCCCGCATGCACATGCCTATTGCTCATTACAGACTCGGTATTCTTGCTTCGATATTACGACGGCTTTAACGAGTGACTGACAAGAAAAACCTGAAGGGATTGCGCTTTGTTTCCAGGGTCGGCAATTTCCCCGCACAGGTGCTGATATTACAGGTTTCCACAGGAGTAAAAAGACATGTACAGAACTTTTCAGCTGATATTTATTTTTCTACCTGTACCCGTTTCTTTACTGCTCTCGAATTGTTGGACGCGTCACGAATGCTGTTGCCCGTACCTAATTTTCGATCATTTATACTTGGTTGAGTTTTTAATTCTTAACTCAACCACTAAACTTTAATTCTTACGTTTAACTATGTTTGTACAGAATCACATGCATGTTTAATATTTTTATGCTGAATGCGTCGAGAAATGCATCGTAAAATGGCGGTATCGACCAACAACGGGGATTACATGTTATCATTCATCGGAATAACAAGAATTTTATTAGCGAACGAGTTGACAAACTCGGTTAACATAGTTGAACGGTTTCGGTAAGTCGTTCATGGGATTGAATTTCCACTTCCCTTTACCGTTATCCCAGGCGGCATAATTACCACCGCTAGCCCCATTGAACATCTTCATCGCTACCGCATCGTTGATCGTACGGGTCGTCCCGTCGCTAAACTGGCAGTTAGCCTCTGTACGATCTGGCACCGGCACATTGCGGCCCATTTCAGCGAGAGCTTGCTGGCGCTGGCGTTGCATCCACTGGTTTGCATCGCGTTGTTTCGCGTTAAGCCACTGAACACCAGCATGTACGTTGGCCTTCCAGCTCCATACTTGCTCGCAGGTTGGCACGGGATTGGTAAGCTGGAAAATTCCGACACCGTTATCCGATGATATTAACGGCTGTCCACTGACGAACTGGCGTAGACCACTCTCATGCTCAGCAACATATGGAGGATACCTGGAAACCGATTTCATCGAATTTTAAAGTGCAGTGCGTAACTCCCTTGAATCACATCACAGAAATTTAGTTTGTCTCTCTCACTTGAGAGAATGAATACGGAAGTGTTAACCCAGCAAAATTCAAGCTAAAGCTGATCTAGTACTTACCACAAATTTCCGGAAGCAGTCACTATGAGATTCCGGATTTCGGCAGTTGGAGGTTGGGTGCCGGCAATGGAGAAGGTGATTGAACCAGTGACACCGGCGGCGTCGGTCCATGTCAGTGTCGCGCGCCCTCCACGTATTCCCGAACTCGATAGTATGCTTGTCCAAGGATTCTTCTGACTAGTAAGCGTTGTTTCGGTGCAGAACACTTTGCCAGTAGTGTGCGAAAAGGCATCCAATTTCAGCTGCCAGTCGATGCGCTGGTTATTATTGCAGTAGTACGCCGCAAGAGACGGCGTTTCGGCGTCTTTACTGATGTACACCACACCTCCGCTGGTAATTTCTCGGCCACCGTTCATCAGCCGTACGCGGCTTTCTCCGTTCGCACATGCTTCGGGACAGGCCAACCGGAAGTTCCATGCGGTACCAGTTGTGCCTGCACAGTTGGGTTCGACGTCGACGCGCACCTCCGAAGATTGACCGCTGAATGTAACAGTGACGGTTTGCTCTTCGCCGACACAACCGGTATCATGGATAATATGGTTTTCGTATATCACAGCTACCCGATCCTTGATATTAAAGGTTTTATAATAAAATTTAAAACTTCCGGAAGTTGTGCCCACGTTGTACCGGCGAGTCACCGGTGTATCTGCGCCTATTAACAGATGCGACCACACCGCGAGTCATAACGATGGTAATGCAGGAAGTAATTATAGATTACTAGTTAATCGGCGTAGGTTATCTGTAGGTGCGTATGTGCTTACAATACAGTACAGTACCTAGCTGATAACAAGGGCTAAGAGTGAACGGATGCAAAGGTGGTACTTGAGTAATTTTTGCTTACCGTCGACAGTGCCGCCTGCGTCGCACGTACTACAAGAAGTGGCACATGCCGAATTGGGATCCGTATCACACTGTGACCCACAGGAAACCGCTAGCGCATTCCCTGAGCCAGCCGATGCCGAAGTTCCTGTTGTTCTGTACGGTGTCCAGTTAACCGTTGTACAAGAACTGACACCGGCTTGTTGACAAAGCGATTCCGGCATGCGGGCCTGTATTTCATACAGCGTGCCACTACCGACTCCGCCGGTTATCTTCCGTACTCCGGATTGGGGAACGTCGGCTAGCGCCACTGGTACGACATTCAGATTTTGGGCATTCCCAAAACGAATTGCTAAACCATCTTGGGCATCGGAGGTATCCCTTTTGCTTCGTCTTGTATCCATGGGCGGTAGCCAAATGTAAAAGAAGTGTTTTCGTCCAGTCTCAGCAACAAATGATGAGTCTTCCACGCGAACGCCAAAACTACTTAAATCATCGGCAGATAAATTTTTTGGGGCCGCTTCCACGGGACCCGAGGCAAAGTTATCAACTGATTTAATGTAACTGCCGTTAGGAAATTCTGCATCCTGACTGATCTTGTCGTCCAGAACGTCATTATTACTGGATGTATCATCCGTCTGCAAGCCGAAAACCAAACCCAGCGTTACAGCAAGGATTACGGCAACGATGGCAATTATGCCGATCATCAGCCAAATTTTCTTGGACTCCATTACGCAACTTCAACCAGATTATGCTGTAAGAGTAATGCATTTTAAGCTATAAAACAAAAACGCAGCTGCGCTTGTTGTTTGCTTAGCCAGCTGAACGTACCGCATCTTATCGGCACAGGAAGTGAACGTGTGATCTCAGCTTCATGCTGCCGATGACTAATTCTAAACAATTATGAGCCCATCTCTTTTGTACCATGCTGGAACTTCGTTTTCCGCAGCCATGTTATCAGATGGAAGGGTAAGGTAAACAAACTATTTCGGCATTTCTGTTTAAACAGCTTTCTGAAAGCGTCATATCTACGAGTATCGTGCATTATCGTAAATTAAATCTACGCACAGTGTATACATTAACTTTATGGCGATTTTTAATTTGTCAGGCCCAAACTTATTACTCTAGCTTTCCATCGCAATTCGCAAATGCAAAAACTGCGCCAACTGTAGAAAAATCATAGCGTGATCAATATTTACTATTTTAATAATGGAAACAAAAAGCTTTGGATGGTGGCTTGTGTATTTGCCACCTTTGCCAAAATCATTGTTGTGACGTTGGGTTTAGTTTTTGTCTTAGAAACGGGTGATGCAGTAACACTCAGTCTAGCTCAAGCGTTTGGCCGTTAGGTTTAGCAACTTGGACTGCATCGAGCGCGAATTGACCACCTGGAGTTCAGGTTACGAGTGCACGTCTCGGAATGTCGGTGGAGTTGCCAACTGACAGTGCATGGGTCTAATAATGCAACTCTGAGCTGCGTTGTATCATATGCCTTGGCCCTTGTGTAACGGAGTTTGGCAGTGGCGTGTGTTGTGATCGGCCAGGTTTAAATTTCTATGCTGTGCATGTAAAACACAACAGGTTTAGGGGCTATTTGCTACCGTGATGAAACTATTAAAAACTACATAATTATTTACAAATGTGTACAAAGCGATTACTCTGACTGGTGGTAAGCACCGCTGCACCCGGCATGGCCGAACGGAGTGGGCCAGTGGCATACACATTCCATTGACATCTTTGCTTAAACTTAAAGGAATCATCCAGATTACTTCCAATAAGCGTGTATTATTGAATCAAACAGGTCCAGAATTCCCTGTTGTTTGTAATCACGGGATTCTATCGTGATGAAACTGTATTGAAATTGTTAATTATATTACAGCATCAAATGTGAAGTTGTCTGATTCTGACGGAATTCAGCTTGCAAACCGTCCTTTGGGATGCTAAGTACAGGCCACCTTCTCAGCTGGTAGGTTGGGCACTTTTCAACTCAAAATTTTTCCTAGTCAAAACAACGCAGAAGAAGGAAAAGTTGGCCCAACTGTCGAAATTGACCAAACTGTATTAAACCTGAATAGCCGCACGCATGGAACTGTCCACTTTCTTTCCTTCCACATTATATTTCAGCCTTTACTGAGTTCTTTTTGGACAGAGAATGGCTTGCTACAAATTAGAGGAAAGACGTTCTCGACCTTTTGAACATTCGTTATCGTATGTGGTGGCTGAACAGAATTCTGTATTGTTTGTATGTAATGATCTTGCTATTCTTTTCGCAAGCCTGTTTTACAAAAAAAAGCCTTTTCGTATCAAAAGGCAGCGGTGTGGAAAAAGTGTAAAATATTACATTGAAGACAGCGTCGCGATACGGTTTCTCTTCAAGTTCAAGTGTTTTTTTTTGCACAATTTCTCAATGTGGAGTTTCAAATGAACGATTTTTGCGAAATTCAAATTAATTTTGACTTCCAGTTTTTCTTAAATTTAACCGGAAAAAATTACAGGGGCAGTTGTAAAGCTAGTTCGAGCGCACAGTGGCAACAAATGTTTTTCAAATACAAGCTTTTTCGCCCTTGGGCCATGCTTGTGCAAAGCGGTCAGCCACACAGAGTCGGCAGCGCGGTGTTACTTAAAACAATTTATGCAGTTTACTTTAGCTTTAGTCTGTGATATTTTGACTACATATCGGGTAGTCAAAGTTTGCCTGCTTCTCACAATCGCTTGGTATGATCGCCTCTCAGAATTAAAATAGTACTAAGGATTTTCGAATGCACAAATAATGCAACGACATCAGCGAAATCAGTCAGTAGTGCTTAATGTTTCTGTTAATAATTATTGCTAGTCGGTTCAGCCGAACACTTCAAACAGTCTCATGGTACCGACTTTTCGGCTTACGTGAATGTGTGGCTAACTGCTGGCAGAGCAATAGGCCTGGGAATTTCTACGCAACACTCATAATTTGCACAGTGTGGCGTTTTGCGGTGGTGCTAAACCTTACTGTGTGTTCCCCGTATCCGGTGTCAGTCTTCCGATCATACACGGCTTTTATGAATTTCGCTACGCAAGCTTTTTTTGATTATTTAAAGCGCTGATGATTAGCACATTGTACAGTATATTTCTCAATACGGCATTTCAAAATATTCTCTTACTAAATTTCTTTTGCACTGAAAATGGCCGACGCTATTCATCAAGCTGTAAGCTATTTTTTACTTCCGTTGACGACGATGTTAATGCTCGTGACGGTGTCTAACGGCAGCAAAGTGGAGAACAGCTCGGTCACGCCCAGCTCTATGGATGGTACTGGATCTGCAGCCAAACCGCAAGATGAAACCGATGAGACGGATACCGCATTCGCAAGAATATTCAGCCGGGTCAGCCCATGGGTTTTTCCAACTACTGGTACCGACAAGCCCGCAAAGAAACAACCCCGTGCACCCATTGCATCGCAAGCTGAGGTCCGTGTGGACGGAAAAAAGTAGGGAGAGCGCTTCAAGTTGCAAATGTATATATCTTCTTAATTGGGCTTCTATCTGCTTTCGGCGCTGCGCAAATTTCATTCTACAATTATTGGGTATGCTTGTGTAAATTCTCTGTAAAATGTATATACCGGGGCTTCTGTCTTAAAACCTGGCACAAGATGACAAAGGCAGTTCGAACCCAATGTACGTTGCTATCAACCCTACAGATGTTTCGAACGCCCATTCGAAATAAAGGCAATGCCACGCTGAACCGAACTCCGTTACGGAGTTTTAGTGGTTGCACAAACATATAACAAATTATCACATGCAGGCATGCATGACCAAATTTTCAACTACGAAATCATATTTAATTCTTTTTCAAATTTTCAACTACGAAATTCGACTACGAAATCATATTTTCCACGCGTTTATGCTGCTCTGTATCCATAATCGGAATTTCTACTGGTTATTTGGAAGAATAATAAATATGTTAAATGAGAAATAAAATACAGGAAGAGAATTTTATAAAATAAATTGTCAATAGTTATTAGACCACCATCAAATTAATTATTCCAGAATTAATTGATCAGTTATCTTGAAATAAGCATTACACTGGTATTGGACCGTTCCTGCAGCGAAAAAGGGTTAACCAATAGGCAATGAATGATAGCGACGGAAAAGAATCTGGTAAATTTTTGGGGTGGACTTTGCAATGGCAGCAGAAAGCATCGTAAGCTCGAAACCATACGTTGGGACAACCGAGTATGGCAGCGCAGTACATAGCACATGGAAAGGATCCTGAAGTACGTACGTACTGCACATAGATATTACAAATAGGGGGCAAAAGTAGACGTATTCCACCGTTCCCCTGTACTGCTACCGTCACCCGCCTGGAGTGTGACGTTACGGCAGTACATATGGTTAAATCTGGCGCGGTACATAAGCGCTACATATGTTTAGCCATAAAAACGCCGGTTTGGATAATCTGACACGCATTGCATTCCTGCTGACGTTCAGCAAGGGTGGTTTGTAATGCTACTTTGACGGAAGTCTACTTGCGTTAATAGTATGAAAACAATCGCATAGAAAGGATCCTGATCGACAATCAGATAACAAGAATAAGTAATGCTTCAACTGCAAATCTGCAGTTGACAGCCATTTGATAATGAAAAAAGCAGGCTCTGAGGCTCCTGCAAGAAAAGTACCACACAGCTGTTTTTATAAATACAGTCACACACAGCCTTACATTCACACGATTATCCTGAATCATTTTTCTTAGGTTGTTTTCAAGAAACTGTTTTCCAGAATTATTGAGCTGCTTTGTCGTGCGTTACCGCTGCGCATTCGTCACCACCGCCTTAGAATATTTCGAGCGAGTTACAAAATGTGGTTGTATACGCTTTTCACCTCTTAGCGAATGATTTTAACAAAGATGGTACAGACTTCAAAGAGACTTGGCCACTCAAATTGCATTACAAATGCGTCGAATATCTGTTCCGTCGGTTATCCGCGAATGTCATCGTTAACCGGAACCCAACCATAGCTCGCCCATTCCGGTGGAAACTTTAGCTGTGAGGTTAATTCATATGCCTGATGGTCGATTAACACTCTCCTTGACACTCAGACTCCTAAAACAATAAAGCCATTCGTCACCACCACTTTCCAAAAGAAAAACATGTATTTAGCTCCAGTTACCTGCATCAGCAACCATTTTCGACATCAGCATTTGCGTGTAAACTGTAAAGTTAAACTGTAAATGTAAAAATAAATTGCATGAAATAACATGCTATTACGGAAGACCTGCTGCATTTATAACTGGCACATCCCTTAACGGCTAGCCTGCAGCGCACCTATCCCAGGAGTTGCTTCCATATTACTCGTAGTCGTAGAGGACACAATGAACGAAGCCGGACATCAGCCAAGTGTGGACAATGGTGACGAAGATCAGAATTATTTTGCTGTCATCTTGAATCAGCAGGAGGGCGACGCACGGAAAATTATGATTGACGGGAAGTTTACGGATTGAAATACGTCAATGCAGGTGCGAATAATTAGTGTTTGCTTAGTGCCCATCAGACTTTTTTCACGCTATTTCTGAACGAGACAAACCGTCAGTAGATCATTGTTTCAGTCATGTGCACAGTGCACATATAAGGGGCGAAAGTAAACGCGTTCCACCGTTCCCCTGTACTGCTGCCGCGTTGAGTGTGACGTTACAGCAATACATAGGGTTAAATCAGGCGCGGTACATAAGCGCCTTGTTCAGCCACAACGTAACTCCAGCCTGCTGACGGCAGCAGTACAGGGGAACGGTGGAAGATGCCTGCTTTTGCCCCCTATATACTGTGCATCACGTCGATCAGCTGTCTAAACCGGGCGAAAGTTCAGTCGTCAAACGATGAGCTTTTTAATATTGGTTACACAAAGTCACAGCAGAGCTGCCAAGAAAAACAACATCGGGCACTTGTAATTCCCGATCAGCCAATCTGAAAACTAAAAAAACATCCTCGTTGTTCCTAATATCATTAAATGTTCGTCAAACGTCAAACTATTGCTTTACCAGCACCAAACAATGCAATTATTCTGATGCTGACGAATTACAGACGTAGAGAAGTGCAGTTCCAGTTGAAGTGTAATCAATTAAATCTCTAATAATAATCCGAAGTGTAGAAACCATCTCTGGAATTCACTGACGGTGAGCCAGCACCGACTGCCGTTTTGTAGTCTTTCATGATACAGGCCATTTTTTCCGCTTGAGTTCTGGTACTGTCAATCCCAAAGTCAAACTTTCAACCGCAAAAAGTCGTTTACCGAAATCGTATTAAGGGCATAAAAAAGAGAAATTTTCACTATTGGTGTTGGTGATTTAAGTGGTGGATGCACCAGTTTGACGCTTACTTATACTGCAGAATGTGATGCCCGGAAGTTGAAAGCTAGTTAAAAGATCGTCAGACGTTTGTCACGTTACGTTTGAACGTGATAACCGACAACCCAGACATCCTTTCAATCAGGTGTACAGTCATTTCACCGACGTGCAAAAGTGTTCGCCACTGGCCACACTATTGTTCTGTTGACACCTCGTAATGAATTTGCTGGCGCAGACGGTACGGCAGCTGTGGTTTCTCGGTACTCGTACAGAACCTGGATATGAGTGAACGAGCAAGAAACGTGTCGATTAGCCCCAGGGCACGTCGGCATCATCATCGTTCAAGTTCATTACCACTTCTATAATCGCGCAAGGTACCTTACGTGCTAGTACATGGCAATAAAATGAGTAGGATTGGAAATTAAATTATGTATTTTCCGCGTTTTGCTGCTTGTACGAGCCGGTTGATTCGTCAGCGTATGCGACGCTGTCTTCTTGCAGAAGCGGGAATCACTCCGAGTTTTGTTCTGCATTTCTTGCATCAGAAACATTGCAGCAAAAGTCAATTGTCGATATTTATTGCGATTTCCTGTGCATAAAGCATGTGAAAGCCGTGCAGTGTCAGACCGACAAAAAACCTTCTCTGCAGGCGGATGCTCGAAAACATACAAACTGAGCGACAAAAGGCACATACATGTAGTCGCTTACTCTCAGCTCTGCTGACGGAAGTCAGCAGGTAAATAAATACAGCAAGTGGCGCATTCACTTAACTTTATCAATACTCTGCTTTCGCTTTGGCTGGATTTTATTAATGCATATAAGAAAAAATAAAGAGATCCGATGGTAAACGAGTATGAAGTTACCGATAATGATTATTTCATCATTTTATCCGCAAAAACTTAGCGCAGAATGATGTGTTGTACCTATACCATAGAATTGACCGTGAATAATACATACAGCATAGATCATAGATTTATGTACAGAATTATATCGTAGAACCGAATAACTGAAAAATCTTTTATTTATTAAGTACAAGATCTATACTACGCGCGGCGCCCCATAGTTTTGAGATCTCTATAACCATAAAACTTCTGGAAAAATGGACAACGCCATTAGATCCGGGATAGTTCAGAAGTGGCCGGCATGTGTTTTTTTATGAAAATATCGAGCCGGCATCAAGCCGCCATCAAGACCAGATTGATCCAACCCATCTTAAAGGTCACCTTGAAACTTAGAAATATTTGCCTAGATACAATACAAAATACCAATTGACATAATTATCACACTAATTAAACCGAAAAATAAATAAATTATTGTACTTATTCAAACACTCGCGTTATTCAAACATTGCTGCCGGAGTTGCCGAGCTCGAAACACGTTTAAAATAAACCAATATAAAATGTAAAAATATCAAATATAAAATCAATACGAAAAATCACTGGACGAGTGAGTGACCAAAACACTATCACCGACCACTGAGCGGAATCTCTAGGTGAGTGGGTGACCGAGCTACCACCACTGACCAGTAAGAAAAATCACTAGACAAGTGAGTGACCGAAACACCATTACTGCCCACTGAGCGGAATTTCTAGGTGAGTGAATCATCGAGCGGGCTTTGCTCTTGCTCACCTACCGGGCTCTGTGCACTGGACAGTAGTTGTAGCAGGGTCACATCCTCACCTAGCGATTTTTCTCTTTACCTAGCGATATTTGTTACTGGACAGGTTGAGCTCGGTCAGTTACTCACCTAGTGATTGAGTGCGTCAAAAAATCGCTAGGTGAGTACGTGACCGAGCTACCACCACTGTCCAGTGCCCAGAGCCCGTTAGGTGAAAGAGTACCGAGATACCACTACTGTCCAGTGCATAGATCTCGTTAGGAAGATGGGTGACCGAGCTACCAATACTGCCCAGCGCACAGAGCCCGTTAGGTAGATGGATGACCGAGCTACCAATACTGTCCAGTGCACAGAGCCCGTTAGGTGAAGGCGTGACCGAGCTACCACTACTGTCCAGTGCATAGATCCCGTTAGGTAGATGGGTGACCGAGCTACCAATACTGTCCAGTGCATAGATCCCGTTAGGTAGATGGGTGACCAAGCTACCATTACTGTCCAGTGCACAGAGCCCGTTAGGTGAACGCGTGACCGAGCTACCACTACTGTCCAGTGCTTAGATCCCGTTAGGAAGATGGATGACCGAGCTACCAATACTGTCCAGTGCACAGAGCCCGTTAGGGGAAGGCGTGACCGAGCTACCACTACTGTCCAATGCATAGATCCCGTTAGATAGATGGGTGACCGAGCTATCAATACTGTCCAGTGCATAGATCCCGTTAGGTAGATGGGTGACCAAGCTACCAATACTGTCCAGTGCACAGAGCCCGTTAGGTGAACGCGTGACCGAGCTACCACTACTGTCCAATGCACGAACTCCGTTAAGTGATCTAGTGACCGAGGTACCACTACTGTCCAGTGCACAAACTCCGTTAAGTGATCTAATGAGCGAGCTAGCACTACTGTCCAGCGCATAAACTCCGTTAAGTGATCTAGTGACCGAGTTACGAGTACTGTCCTTTGCATAGATCCCGTTAGGTAGGTGGGTGACCGAGCTACCAAAGCTATCCAGTGCACAGAACCCGTTAGGTGAACGTATGACCAAACTGCAATATTACTGAGCAAAATAGAGCAGGCCCTGCTAAGTTCTTAATGGGTGACCTATCTAGCACCACTGTCTAGTCTTAGCGTCCTTTTAGTTTGCAATGTGATACTCTCGTGGGTGATTAGATCCGGATGGTTTTTCGCTAAGAAAATTTAACAAAAAATGATCTGTAAAGTCAAAGTAACTGCGTTCGACTGCACGAAACCAAAACATCCATTTTTTTTATAAAATTTTTGTTGTCGGGCTCTTCAGATTTATCCGTTCTAAGTTAACAATCCGTAAACCGGCCAAGGAGTTTAGAACCCAAGAAACGCGGAGGCGAAGCCGAGGCTGTTTCTTGTAATGTCCATATTACGCAAACATGTTAGTTAGTTGCTGAAGCCTCCTGCAGTTGAACATCTACGTTTAAATCCAGCCATTTTCAGAATTTCCGTGGTTGTTTGTTGGAGGCACTCGGGCAGCAATCGTGAAATCGCGTAGTGCTGCGATTACCCGTCCAGGTGTTTCATTGCCAGCTGCAGGCATTGCGCTGAACGCCGACAGTGAACGGTGGCAATATAGTGGACACCCTCCAGCAAAATTAGCGGTGTGAAGTTTATCGCATGTAGCCGGCAGAAAGGTTGACAGGTTGATGGTTGACGTTCAATGAAGGTCATCAACCTTTCTGCCAGAGCGCATCAACCTTTCTCTAAAGGTCATCAACCTTTCTTCCAGAGCTCATCAACCTTTCTCTAAAGGTCATCAACCTTTCTGCCAGAGCTCATCAACCTTTCTCTAAAGGTCATCAACCTTTTTCTTTAGGTTATCAACCTTTCTGCCGAAGTGATCCACCTTTCCACCAGTGGTAATCCACATCTTTGCCGAGGATTATTCACATTTTTGGAAAGGCTATTTACTTTCTGCCGGAGACCATCTGCCTTACTAGAGAGGACATCCAGTTTTCTGCCATAGGACATCCATCTTTCTGCCAGAGGTTATCCATGAATCTCCCAACGGTATCCATTACTCCTATCAACGACGCCAATGCACCCATTGTAGCTCCATTTGCTTATCGTTCCTCTAGCTCGTTGAAAAGCAAATTAATTAATGGTTTTTTTAAACACCTGGCTTGGATGTTGAATAAGCAAGCGAAGCAGTTCACTGAATCCACCTTGAACTGACGACAACAGTGACTTACAATGAGCACAACTGCCACGAAAAAAATAATATGACAAGTACAGAATCATTGACGCATCAACCTTTCTGCCGAACCGGTGTCGGCACCCATTCATCACATCAAGCTTTTGCGCAACTGCAAAAGTTGTCTGTCACAGTTTTCACCATCGGTATTGCCTTATAAGTTAAACCGCTTACCTACGATCAAACATGCAGACGCAACGTACGAACTACGAACAGTCGATATAATATTATGTCTTAACCGACAGCGAAATAATTGTGTTGCACAATAAAGTACAATGAGCACAATAAGATCAATAGACACCGCCGGCAGAAAGGTTGATGACCTTTACAGAAAAGTTGATGACCTTTTAGAAGGTTGATAACCTTTACAGAAAGGTTGATGACCTTTCAGAAAGGTTGATAACCTTTACAGAAAGGTTGATGACCTTTAGAGAAAGGTTGATGAGCTCTGGCAGAAAGGTTGATGACCTTCATTGAGCGTCAACCATCAACCCGTCAACCTTCCTGCCGGCTACAATCGCACAACCCAGAAAAACTTCAGATGTTCCGATGTTTGCAAGATAATATGCCAGATAAGAAGAAACAGTATATTGTATAAACATAAAATGGCGTCGGTTACGTCATAAACTGGAGTTGGGAGCTGCACTTTCCAGCTGCAATTCCCGGTTGGACTTTATGACTACAGCTCCCAACTCCAGAATATGAGTCATCACAATTGTATAGTGTATGTCCATAGTGCATACTATAATACTATATATATATATATATATGTAGTTAAAATTTTATACAATAGTTAACTAATTACAGTCTTTCGGGAGGAAGTAAGTATTAAAGGCACCACGGAACGCATAAAATCTAGAAAAAAAAAACAAGTGACTTTTGTTACAATGGCGCGCATTGTGTGTAAAAAAAACTTTTGCGAAGCCGTGGTGGGGACTTGCATTATTGTTATGTTAATTCTTATAATACTGCTGGAAGCATTTTTCGGAGCAAGCCACAGTGTCAGGACCTTTATTAACAATTGCACCGCACTGGAAGTTGATGATTTACTCAATCGAAACATCACCCCATGGGCGAGTGTTAAAATCAGAGTCAACAATTCTACGTTTTGAGTAAGTAAGTTTAAATCGTTTGTTAATTTCCGCCGACGAAACTTCCAGCTTGCGCTTATTGCGTGTTATGTTGAACGGATAATTCACGGTAATTCCGCTTGGCTGGTCCGGTGGTGCCAGGCTTTCCAGTAGCATCTCTTTCAGGCTTTCCAGGTTTAGCTGTTTTTTCGCTTGCCGTGTCAACGTAAATCCCTTGACTTTTATCGTTTCACATCCAGTATTTGTCCGGTAAGCATAGCTTTTTGGTCCTGGGACAACAAAGAATTAACATTTTAAGTTGCTCGCATATTATTATCTAGATAATTATTCTTTTACCAAGCGCTACAAATTCGTCAATGTACTCGTCAGGCTGTAAAGACGAGGACAAATCACCCAAGCACGTTCCCGTTGGTGGATCGGGCAAATCGTCTCTATGGATGTAGAAAATGCTGTCTGCAAAATAAAGAAGTGGATGAGCCAATTTGCCGATAATACTGTTTCGCGCCTTCACCTGTATCGTGGTATAACAAACGGTCTCCAACCATTTCCATGAATTTTAATAAGTGTAGCCGTGCGTACGCAGTCGTAAAAGCTGCGATAACAACATTGGTTTTTTTGCTCGTCGCAATGTAGTCCTTCTTGGAGCGGTATTGAACTGCCATAACTTCATCGGTGACCAAATCGAACCCGGCGACTTCGTACTTGTTAGAAAACAAGTAATCATGGAATACCTCTTTCTTTTCCACCATATCCGTGTTGGATCGGTCTTCCTGTTGACCAAATTTTCCCCTGCAATGAGCGTAAAAATAATGAACATGCACAAATTAAATAAATTCACATGTGTACCAAAAACTATTTAGCATAAGCTTGCAAAGAGCTCTCAATGCGTCGTTTTTCGCAATATTCTTTTATCCAGTAGAATATTTTCTTTAGCAAGGAATTCTTGAATATATCTGTCTTTTTCATCTTCCGTTTGACACTGTGGTGGATATCCAGAAGCTTCCGTTTTCAGCTTCAAAACAGGTCAATGTATTCTCTGAATAAATACTGCATTTGTTCTGGATAGTGCCAAGCCGAGTATATTTTATCGATACGATAGCCAACTTCTAATGCTCGATGAATTTCTGGAGTGCACCAAGTTCCTTCCAGAGCCCTGTCCTCATCATCGTGAGAACATGGTTCGTTTACGCGTTCCGTCACGCATTTAGCGCATAAAGGAAAAGTCAGTTTATCAGTTTTGTAAGGTAGCACCGGTAAAAACAACGACGGTGGAGGAATGACGCGACATTTAATTATTCCAAAAATACTCTCCACAGGCGGAAAATCTTTAGTAATGATAACAGGCGGTCCCACCGGATAAGGTAGATTTTTGTTAATATAAGGGTATTCGCTGATAACGTCGAGCGAATAGATTTTTTCTCCAGGATCGCACTTGTGGTACAACTTGATAGCGTTTGCCCTGCCACCAGTAAATGCGTCTCGGGGGTGCATAGGTTCTTCAATACCGGTCAACTGAATTATTTTCTGAAATTCCAGGTCAGTAGTGAGCCGGCTATCATAGTCGTGTTCCCAGATCGAAACTACGGAATAGCCCATAGTTTTGATAGCTTCAAGGCGTAAGGCAGTTGCTTTGTTGACTTCCTCCATTGGCCGTTTCAGAAAGGGATGCAGCGTGCTTTTGTTGTGCATTCGCTGCAGCCGTGCCACATACATCCTGCACAAAAACATTGAAGGTGAATTGCGTTTTGAATGTGATCGATAACATTTATATCGAGCTGACTAACCTAAAACTCGTAAGCGGTTTTTGTATCCCGATCAAAACCATCCACAGTCCAGTGACCGATTCGATGCTCTTTTGCAATTTTACATCATTTTCCATTTCAATCCAGCGTAGCCAACGCTCTCCTTTGACAGATGACTTTTTGCCCTGACCAGGAGGGCCGATCAACGCAATTTGGTTTTCCTTCAGCATTCGCGCTCTCCAAAAGTAATTGCACATGCCGGGTGTGGTTAGTCCAGACGCAAATGGGCATAATCCATCGGTTACCTGTTGGAAAAGCGCTCGAAATTTTTCGCACGCTTGTTGCAAAATGAGGACATCTTGTGAGCAATACCTAAAACGAATCGGATAAGTTCGATTCTGTAAATAGCATAAGGGTTTAGCTTACTTGATAAAGTGTGCATTAAAGTCGAATTTGTTCCTGTGACGGCGTCGCTCTTTGCGGTACCATTTCATGAAGCGCTTTCGTTCTTTCTTTTCATAGACTGATAGCCATAGTCATGACGATCGGGCCAAGCAATTATTTTATTCCAGTTTTCAGGCTTATTAAGTTTGTGTGGGAAATCTCCTTTGGTTTCTTGCAAACCAAATGCTTTCGCAAAATTTTTAACGATGATGGTACATAGTTCATAGAGTCACGAAATTTTATTTTGAGTTTGGGCACGTCCATCTGCATAACCTTGCTCCCGTTGAAAATAAGCGGACGTGGAATAACGCCGTTTTTCACGAGATAATTCAAAATGAAGTATCCATCAAATCCCTGAAAAATAAATTATCAATTTATTTAATAAAGAAGTTACTTAACGTGTTGACTTTCGCTACCTTCAAATTGTGCGCCATAAATGTGTAGCCACGGAAACGCTCACTGAAAATGAAATCGCCAAGTTCTTGTGAAATGTCGCCGTTAATATTACCGTTTTCTGGAAGAATAAATTTTTCATTTTTTGTCGCGATCACCGCTAGGTTGACTTTAAATTCTCCACTCTCGTCTTGATATGTTTCCAGGTCAAAGTATGCCAGCTTGTCGTTATGGTGCTTGGCCTTTTCTTTATCCGTAAATTCCACGGGTTTCATATAACACACATGGTTTTCCTCCGGCATATAGAATAACGAGCAAGTCGCACAAAAAACTCACCACATCGATGTTGCTGATCGTCAACATCTAGTTCGATTTCCTCAGCAATATCGTGGTCCTGGTCATTGTCCTCACCATGAATTGTATCGTAATTGGTCTTCATACGGCGATTTACCATAGAGACAAAGGTTTTACACTCACGGCAAATGAAAAATTTGCGCAGATGGTGCTGCTCCCAGCTTGGTGTCTGTCAAAACAATCTTGCCCATAGAAATCGCGGTTACAGTCCAGACAGTGTATGGTTTCTTGCTTATTCATTTTGCAAGTTGCAGACAAACACTGGTGGCACTTGAACTCGCAGCGGTGATACTGTCTTTGATCGTAGCCTTTCATGCAACGGTAACAGTAATAGTGGTGCTCAAAATAGGCCGGTAAAGATGTTAAAACATCAAAATGTTGATCGTGATGCAGCAGCATAATTCGCTTTTCGCAGTAGGCGCCGCAGTAGACGATAGAATTTCCATGATCCACAGATACCACAATAAACTGATAATTCGGTAAAACTTCTTCAAAGCGGGGAATATCTTGCACGTTGAATTCTCTGTTTGGCAGGTTGGCAGTCAACAATAATTCTTTTGTCTTCTGGTCTTGCAACTTTTGGTTCGGTAAAGCTTTGTGTACAGCTCTTTGTCGCCATCTGCATGCGCTTGTGCCACAACTATAGCCCTGGCCATACACAAACAGTCCGTATTTCGAATCTGGGTAATACATCTTTTGTTGTCTAAAATCCGCTGCAACAATTTTGATACATTTTTTCTGCATGATCCGGATGGCAAATCAGTGTGCTGGACTGACAGTTCAAATGATTCGTCTAGCAGAAAAGCCTGATTAGAGTTTAGAATCCGCCTTATTGTCGTCATCCACCGTTCAGTTGTTATTTGGTCCCGCCGAATAGGTGGCATCCAAATTGGATACTGCAGAGCATTTTGATACATGCGGATTCGCACCAGGTTATGCGCTGGAATCGCAGCAATCACACTCTCCAGAATATCTTTCAAAACGAGTGTTATCGTTTTAACAGCATACTTGAACGATAGATTATCCAGCCCCGTCACTGTACATTTGTAAGTTTCGAACGAAACTGAAAATTTCTGGGAATATTTTGCTCCGATATTTTCGAGCACATAATAATCTTTAATGTCATTCAAGTCTGGATCGACTTCGTCAGCTATATTCAAAGCTGGCAGATCAGCTCGTGGTACAGTATAATTATGATCAAGAAGAGCATAATCATGATTGAAAAGTGCGGTATCAGCAAACTGTGGGTTACTAGTACAGGCGTTAGAGTTGCCCTGTACACGATCAGGTACTTGCGTCATCGTAAAGACGAGCTCTGGCAACGTGATTTTACTAGTCTCAAAGATGCACCCAAGATACTCAGATTATATATGAATAAATTCCGCTACAGCATTTTTGTTATCATCTGAATTTCCAAACAGATCGCTCAATGATTCATGCGCTAAAAATGTCAGGCATGTTAATATCCGCGATCCTTTTTTGTTCAGTGCGGTCCTCACCGGAAATGAATACAGCTCCACAACGGATGCAGCACAGCAGTACTGTCCGCATACGGTACTCCATTCCATTTGTAAACGATGCGCTTGCGAAATAACTAACTCGGCGTTCTTGCAAAAACTTTCAATATGGATGCCGTAAAATCTCGGTTCGTGACCATAAGAGTCAAAATATTCCAATTTTCCCGGGACGTCCTGGTAGAACGCCAACCAATGCGAGCCTGGCTTTGCAGCTTCGTCAGTATTGACAACGCATGCCCATGGCAGCTTCATTGGCAGGGACGGTGGTAACATGTCCGCAGCAAATACACCAATAAAAGCGTCTTTCGTCACGGTACTTGAACGTAGCACGTGGTCGATTTCAGCAGTGTCCATTTTAGTGCCGATCTGCATTCAAAATAAAATCTGAATTTTTTTTTTACACTTTGTCCTAGAACAACGGGCGACCGAGAGCGCGAAGCGCTCCGGTCGCCCATTGTTTACCACATCCGTCACGATTCTCTTCAGCGTCAAAAGGGGCCGACGGCGCGCCCACCCCCGCTGGCGACCCTGAAGCTTACCGCGCAGGCAACAACACGGCATTTTTAAGTCTTACAACACTTACGTTAGGTTTTTACGCTGTAAAATCCGCAATTAGCTGGCGATGTGAATTGACTTCAATAATATTATCCCACACCATCATCGTAATGGCCATAATTGGTTCAGTTAATTGGGCGGCGAACTGCAGGCGGATTGATAGATTTCCTTGGCGCACGGTGCTCATCGGTCCCCGGCCTGTCCGTGAAGGTGTCAGATCGAATCCCCAAATAGCAAATCCTTCCGCAAATGCTTTACGGTCGAAAGGCAGCGCCCCGTCCGGTGCGTGCAAGCGGCCGAGCGTCTCCAACAGACCGTCATATGATTGCAAATAATCACCCGTGGCGAAATTTGGTCGGTAGGCTTGTGCGGGATACGACTGTCCGTCGACTTCGACACTTATATAGTTGAGATTGAAATGTTCAAAGTTAAACGGATTACCTCGGCGCAGCCCGTGAAAACTCGAGCTTTTACAAATCCCACAAAACACATTTGGGTACTGCTCCAATATGTAAATTAGCCAGCACTGTGCTCTGAATCATACCAATATCATTAACACGCATACACACTCGCTCAATAGGGTATTTCACAGTCTTTGTCGATAATTGGGCAGTAAGCGCAGACAAATATGCCGGATTAGGCACAAAGCGTTTGACGTACAACCGCGGATTGCGAATGTATGCTTTAAAGGTATCCACTGGAAGATTGGCATATGAACGCAGGTAGAATTCCGGCTTATTCAAAATGAGGCGCACATGTAGCGGTACACCGGTGATCAAATTTTTCCCTGCTGAAAAATGTCCGTACATAATTTGGCGCTGAACGGGACGTACTCGTTGGTCACAAACATAGCTTTTCGCGTTACTTCTCCAGCGTTATTGGCATGATCTTCTAGGTACCCGGGAGTGTCTATATAAAATCCAGCACTTGTTGCCTGGCTTTTTAGGGCAGCCGGTGTGTACCCCAACAAATTTTCCAAGTACGCTCGGTAGGCATATAATGGGGTGGAATTAGTTATCAGGCGGTTGGCCATTGTTACCTCTACCGAGCTGAATATAGAATGCGCAATCAAGTTCACTGGTGCTACCAGATCCGTGTTTTCAATATGCGTAGCCGCACCAAGTCCTGCAATTTGCTTTTTGATTGCAATATCCATTTCTAGCGTAATTTCCGGTAGCACTAGCAGCGCCGACGTTGAAGGGGAATGTAAAAGGAAATTTCTCCAGAACTAATTTCTTCTGTTTGCCCTGATGTTGGTAGAATGCGTTCTTCTTCTGTCCGCACAAAATCCGCTAGAGTGGCCGGAACGGAGAATAAATCCGACTCGACCTGCATAGCTGGCACGCTTCCTTCCAAAATAAAAGCCATTTTAAAATGCGTCCTCAAATTCTCTTGGGGAATCCGCTTAAGCCGTTTAAGTCGGAAGGAAGGTTTCTTTATCTTTTGTCCTCTTGTGCTGCTGCTTGAGCCGTTTGATGCCTCCTTGCTGTTGAGGTTGCGCAGTTAACGCTTCCGAAATTTTCTCTCCTACCTTCTTGGATGTTTCACTTAAAACTGTTGTCGCTGCGTCGCGTAAGTGGGGCTTTGCTGCTTCCATTGCTGCTCTGGCATGTGGTGCCGCTGCTTTAATAACCGGGGCAGCAAAATGCGCTAATTTACTAAACATTGCGCGCAGGAAATTAGGTAGCATAAATCCGCTGCCATTTTGCATTAAACTCCCGCGATAGCGTGTCATGACGGCTCCATAGCCGTGCTGGCTACTAGCGCCCGTGGCGGCCCCGCAAATAAATCCAGATAGAACGATGGTGACGGCTCAAAGAGGATTACGGGCATTTTTTAGCGATAGTAATACTGAATGGGGCGGAAATGCAGCTTTACCATTGACTTTCCAGTCTGAAAAATTGCCGCTTCTCCGAGATCAGTTGCAATGTTGATATCAATAGTGTCCAGTCGATCGTATAAAACAGGTAAATAATGTGGATCCTCAAACCTTTCGGAAACAATTTCGAAGCGAGGAACACTTGCTTTAATGGGGAAAGCGCGCAAAAGCTGCATAGTTTCATCGCCCACAATATTGTAGTCGCACTTGTTGCAGTAGACAAAATTGACTGGTTCCCAATGTGCATATTTACGGGCTTATCTGCTGTCATTGTTATAGACGTCTCCAACAGTTGCAACTCTGCCAGGGCTTTCAGCTGGTCGGACAGTGTTGTAGCTGCGGAAGCAAAATTCGTTTTTCCATTAAAAATTTTCATATTGTTCAGACTGTGCAGCAGAAAATCGTCGTTCTTTAAATCCAAGCATACGGGATAGATGCAAAGATGAGGGAGGAAAATCCAGAAAAACACGTACGCTGGGAAATTTCACTTTGAGCTTGGGCTCGGTTGCAAATAATTCTAGTTGGAAAGCCGCCTGTTCTTTCGCTGTAGAATCGCGAAATGGCTTTAACCGTGGTACTTTACTGTTGATAAAATTAATGATGTCACTTTTCTCATAGATCCCTGCAGGTACCGTAATTGTGTCCCTCTCCATAGCGAAAACACCGTTGCTATCCATAGAAGTAATTTGGTCAACGTGCAACGTTTGGGGACTGGGTAAATTGTACATTGAATTAGGATACTGTATTTCCACCAATGCCATTTCCCATTGTCCCGGTAGCGATATCACGCTCTTTAACTTTGTGGTCCATTCAGCTGCATTATTCTTTGGGAACTGTTGCATACAGGCATCAGATGGAAGCGTGACATAAAAGCTATTATGAGCCATTTCTGACACGACTGAGTTCGGCTTCGTAATATTTCCGCGAATTAAGTCCCCGTCTTCATCCAGTAATACGTAGAGGGGCTCGGGCTGTTGTGGTAATACTTGGTGTATCTTGTAAATTTCCTCCTTAAATGTTGACTCATATCCTTTTTCAAAAAGTGTTTTGTCGATGGCTACTCGTACTGTGTCACCTACGCTGTACTTTGGCTTTTTCTGCTTTCCCAATAATAATTCTGCATATAGTCGATTGAATATTTGCAGAGAATTGGACTGGCTTACCTCATTAGGCGTGACTTTATGCGAAGAATGAATTGCGTTGTTGTAACTGTTTACCAAATCTCCCAGAACGTCCCAGTACACTTTAGACTGTCGGTGTCGAAATAATTTCCATATTCGTTTCTTGAGATTGCGTATGCCATTTTCAGCTAAGGATGCTTTGATTGCTTTATTTTCAGAAGAGAACAAAAAAACCTTTTGGGCTGTCAAAAAACTCTTAACATCCTTATTGTAAAATTCAAGACCTTTGTCCGTTTGCAATTTAATGGGAGCTCCGAGTTCTGCAAACACCTTTTCCAACCCAAGTTTTACTTCTAGACCGCTTTTATTCTTTAGTAGTTGACAGCTCACTTTCTTGCTGAAGACGTCGATCACAAACAATATCCAACGGTATCCTTTGTTCTGCTTCGCATATTTTGATATGTCTGCCAGATCGGCTTGATATTGCTCCGCTAGGTTTGAGACAACTCCGGGGTTTCTTTTGAACCTTTTGCGTCGAGATTTGTGGACTGTATATGGATCCAGATGCTCCAGCTGTTCCCGCGTTTGTTGATAGTTTGGTGCTTGTGGAAAGTGGCTGCGAAACTTTTGAATCCCTGTTAAGCTGCCCGGGTGCTGAGGGTTCAGATACGCTTGTCGTAGCAGTAGATTGGCCATCGTATTCGTCGTCGCTACTGCTTGATCCATCGCAACAGCTAGATGTGCAGTTCCATGTCATACCTTCACCCAAAGACAAAGAAAAGGGAACGCATCCACCACCACTCATTTGTTATTAATAGTCATCCAGTTGAACTGGGATTTGGTTCTTGAACCGATGGGACCTTCGATTTGTAAAGTGTTTTCATCAAATACTTCTCGCTTTGCACGCTTGCGTTTTGCCGGGGGTGCAAGTGGAATAGGAGGGAAAGCATCTAACATACGATCAGGCATATTAGGGGTACCCACGGCTTCTTTAATAGTTGTACTGGAATGGGGGCACAGATGCTGGAGGCGGAATAACCATTTGGTCAGGGCCGAACGCCGACTCTTTCAGCGCCAAAAGCGAGCCAAGTTTCTTGATAACAGTTCCGCTTTCTCCCATTCGCTTAGCGTATTCCGTGAAATTATATCTCTCATCAAATCGTCCAGTTTTACAATATCCACAACTTCAGTAGGCTGCTGTTGTAATTGGACATCCGTTACAATACGACCAACCGTGTCACTTGCAAGTCTTTTCATTTCGCTCGCGGGAACAATATAATGCACTTCCGGTTTCATTTCAGTAAGGCAGTTCCCAAAACAGCTGCCAATACAGGTAGAACCGCAGGTAAGAATCCTCCGCGCTGTAATAAAATTTCCCTCTTGCTTCGTAAAGGATATTTTTTGAGGGCAATCAGCTATAATGGTCGACGCCAACGCTGACACACCTTTAGCTGATCGGTGGTAAGAGGCACTGAATTCTTTACCAAATTCAAACAAATTTCTTCAAAACAGCGAAGTTGTCGTTTCGAAATATTTTCCAAAAGAAAACGACGCTGCTTGGGTTTCAGCGATCGCAGGGTAAGGAGAAACGGTGCAAAGTCTTTTAAAATCTGATCACACATTCTTGGGCAAGTTTGTCGTATGTGGATTAATGTAAATTTTAGTCAACTCTCCCGGTAATATTGCTGAACGAATCCTTAAATAGGCAGGTGTGTCCGGTTTCATATCCAAAATGAGAGGTTGAAATGGTTCCTGGCCGACTTCCTCGTAAGCTCCGCTGAGATGTTTTAAACCAGTCTGCCTTTCTAGAATCTTGATTTGGTTCACATCACGATTATTTTTGAACAGTATAAGATATTGTGCATTAAGATGCACGTCTCGCATAGCAGACCCTTGTTTATATAGGTTATTGAATAATAGAAATACACAAAGCCGTTTATGGTGTACTTTTTGAGTGAAGAGTTTAGCCAAATGCTCATTTTTCACCAAGCCACTTGCCACGTTATCCAGTATCAACAAAATATTTTGTTTACCATCAAAATAATTTTCATCCTCCACAATTTGTTGAATATTTTTTGTCAGTTCAATCCAAGGGACTTTGCGCTGAAGCACTTCGTAGGCTGGCTGCATTTCTCCGTACACCAAAATAATTCGTCCAAATGGTTGGTCAAATAATTTATCGCGCTCCATAATTAATTTTGACACATATGTCGTTTTCCCCGAAGTCGTTGGCCCCACAACAAGGACTGAAGCGGGTAGTCGGAATCTCAAATCAGCTGTCGTGCGCGGATACCTATTTAAGGAATCCATTTCCAAAGGGCGGAGCTATTGCTAGCGTACCGATAACAGAATGGAGACTTCAAAGCGGAGGGTTGTCTTAGATATTGATTGGTTTATCGCTGGCTCCCAACGGCTTATAAAACAGCTGGCATTTTGTGATTGCCCAACTAGTGTTAGCAGGTGCTACACATTCACCATTCCATCCCACTTTAATCGTTACCGCGTTGAATTTAGGAGCCAATCGCGTCACTCACACGGACTTGTCTGGCATAATCGTGGAGATTATTTATACTTGGACATCGCCAGGGCGATTCAGGATATGCTGGAGCTTATTGGTGAACGACCTGCGCGTTTGACGTTTTTTGCCAAAGGATTGGAAAAGCAAAAGATTTTGGAAAATTATTTGCCTGAAGTGTTTAATCTTGAAGACATTGGGTGCCCGAAGTTTAAGGAGCTTACTTCATTACCACAAACAACGCTTTCAAAAGCGGAGACATTTGCAAATTGGCTGAATGGCGAAAATAACTAACGTTGTTGCAACTGCTGACCTTGGCTGCGCAATTGACTTACCCAGCTTATCCGAACGCGATCCGCTTTCTCATTATGCACCACATAAATTTTCCGGGCTTCTTCTCCGTTCCATTCGTCCTTACAAATCGCACTGCCAAGTGTACCGCAACGGCAAGATCACAGTTAATGGTGCACAGTCCATCAGTGATGCTCTCGCGTTATTGGATCACTATTATCGGAAACTGCAAAAATACGGCTATCAAAAAGCATCGTTAAAGAATCCAAGAATTGTTAACATTGTCGCCACTTTCAATTTTGGGAAATTTCTTAGTTTAGAGAAATTATACAACTCAATAAGAGCAAAAGCTGATGCCATGTTTGAACCTGAAATATTTCCGGCCATGCGAGTCCGGCTTCAAGGTTGTACGGCGATGATTTTCCATTCTGGAAAAATTAATTTATTAGGTGCAAAAGATGCTGATACTCTTCATACTGCTGAAAACGAATTGCGCCTGTTATTAGGAACCTAAATGCAGCAGTAAATAAAATTACAAAAAAAGCTATCGTTGCATATTTCTGTTACCTGGCATTACAAAGCATTAGTGCTAAATTTATTAAGAAATGTAAAGAACGTTTACCCTTAAAAGTATCTGGTACATACTACATATACAGTGCAATACTGTACAATACATTACTCATTAATTATGATAATTAGATTTTATTACGAAATGTATTTTTTTGTTATAAAAGCATTGAGCAAACATACAAGCATATAATAATAATTTTTGTAATCAGGAAACTGCGGAATCAGCAAATTACGCCATACCGTTGACAAGGTGGAAAAATTCTTTGAGAAGTTCAGGCCAACTTTTTCCACTCAAACCCTCGTTGTTTATAGCAGCCCCGAAGCTATGTACACATGACAAATACAGCATGGGTTACAACGTAATATAAACTAAAAACACTTGCTTCACTTACTTCGTGTACAAGAAATTCATAAATTCTGCAATTAGCGGAGTAATCGTTAACAGAAATGTGGCTTTGGCTCCAGTGGAAAAAATTTTGCAGCGACCCTGGCGGACTTTTTCCAGTTGATCTGCACGCACGCATAAGCATGCACGCAGTAGACTGCAAATAATTGTCAAAATTGATTACACACTACAGGCATAATGTACAGTAATAAAGAAGATAATATTCCATCGTACCTGTTAGTTTCCATGATTATATATGTATAAATAAATTGAGAATAGAGCAGCTAGTAATATCCACTGAAAAGTAATTATATTTCACTTACTATGCGTTGAAAGGCTTTGACGAGCCAGATGCGTTAAAATGCTCCTCCATAGTGCAAAAGAATGTAAACAACTTGTTGAATCAAGCAGTGAAAGTAAACCAATATAACTGTACAGTGTACAGTAGTATCCATATAGTACAGTACCATCCATCCATCCGTACAGTACTCCAACCATTGGGCGCATGTCAAGTTTCACAATTATATATAAGCCGTGCACAATCCAGTTAAGCAATTAAACTACTCGATAAGTTGACAAATAATTTGTATATTATAAGTGCGCAGCATTACTATAAGTGTTTTCAATCAATAAGAGACGCGCATGGTATGCAGCACCATCGCTGACGAGCCAGTTGCGCTAATGTGCCAATGCCGCTCCATGCGGTAAAAGAATGTAAACAACCACTTGCACGCGTGCAACACGGCTGCACAGGTAGCTGCATCTGGGCTGCGAGCATCCTTGAGGTATGCACAGCAGATGCACCAGCGTGTGTGTGTGTGATTATCAGTAAGTGAGTAAATTAGTTAGTGTACTTCTATACAGTGTACATATGCAGTAATCATATGCTGCAGTTGTGCTGAATCATATGCTGCAGTTGGGAGCTGCAAGTACAAAGTACAACCGGGAATTGTAACTAGAAAGTCCAGCTCCCAACTCCAGTTTATGACGTAACCGACGCCATCTTATGTTTATACAGTATACTGTTTCTTCTCAGATAATATCTGACGAGATCATAGCCGATGAGAATTATAGTTTGGAAAACGATACTCGTCCACGGAATCAGGCGAATATTGCTCACCGCTTCTAGTAGATTGCCACAAGCACTTTTCCAGTGCGAGAACTTTGAGGGATCGGCGGTTCCCCCGTAGATCGAAAACGGGTGTTGACGAGCGTTTCAGGCCGGGTGAACCGTTTGGATGGCGCGAATGACAGCATAAACACGGGTTCTAACCGGAACGTAATCCAACAATCCGATAGCTACCAGGATTAGTAGTTTCTACCAAAACGATTCATGCTTCTTCACTGCTATAGAGCAGGCCTTGCTCTCTATTGCTATTTACCAATACCATTCTCACCATCACGCCGTCGATCGCCTATGCGAATAATTCGTAAAGGGTGCCCACACATTCGTTTAGTGCCTTTCAATATATACTTTTTGTTTATAAACAGTTATTCTTTTGATATACTGGTGTAAACAATTTATTGTGGAGAGAAAATGGCGTATGCATATTTTGCAATTTGCAGTGACCTTTAAGTGAAATTCAATAAATCCAGCTAGTGGGTTTGTGTTTTGAGGAGACCATACCTGATAAAATTGTTTCTCAGCCCGGAACCAGAAGGCGGTGAATAACATGAGAGCAATTCTGAGCGCAGCTGAGAGAAGAACTACACGAGCATGCATCCCACCGCAGTTAATGCCGATTCCATATCTGCGTAATCGACTGACTAGGATGATCCTGACCAGGTCCCGGCTCATCAAACGGCTGTGTCAACTTCCTATTGATGTCGGCTTTTCTCCCCGTTGCTACTACGGATTAAACTGCAGAACTTGCCCATTCCGTTATAAATTAGCTTCTACGCTGTCGTATACAGACAGTTATGGATGAGATCAAGGTTCCTTTGGCAGAAAGAAACTTAATATGTACGTTCAAGATTACTGTACTATGGAGTCTAATTTTGTTTAGTCGGCAATAGTACCGCATTGTTATATACAAGAAACAGCCTCGGCTTCGCCTCCGCGTTTCTTGTGGTCCATGGCCATTTTATTTGAATTTGAATGATTATTTATTAGATAAAATCTATATTTCGTCGAAACATGATCGGTAGATACAAAAAAGCAAACCCGAATTTTCTATGAAAATCAGCTCATGATTCTCTCAACCTTGAAAGCATTCCCTTTGGCTGCACATACAGATAATTTTACGATATCCCTTACCCGAAAAGAAAGCCGAAATATCAGTCCATAATAAGGTGTGAATTTCGAGACAGTGATAATGCACTGGATCACTAGTTCGATGACTCGTCACTTCACTGGTTCTTTTCACTGGAAAGTGGTGTGTGCCCAGTGGTGTATGTCCGGTCAGTAGCGGTAGCTCGATTACTTGCTTATCTAACCGGTTCCGTTCGCCGGCCAGTAGTGGTAGCTCGGTCACTCAAGTACACTATACGATAATGACAGCTTGGTCGCTCGTTCAACTACCGGGCTCTCTGCACCGGACCGTAGTGGTAACTCGGTCACTTGTTCCCTAACGGACTTTGTACACTGGACAGTAGTGACAGCTCGGTCACCCGCTCACCTCCGGGGCTCTGTGCACGGACAGTAGTGGTAGCTCAGTCACTCCATCACCGAACGGGCTTTGTTCCCTTGGCAGTAGTGACAGCTCGGTCACCCGCTCGCGTACCGGCTCTGTGCACGGACGGCAGTGGTAGATTAGCCACTCGTTCTCTAACGGGCTTTCTACGCCGGATAGTAGTGAAAGCTCGGTCACTCGTATCACCTAACAGTAACGGGCTCTCTGCACCGGACAGCAGTGGTAGCTCGGTCACTCGTTCGCCGAACGGGCTTTTTGCGCCGGGCAGCAATGGTAGTCCGGTCGCCCGCTGACCTAACGGACTTTCTGCGCCGGACGTTAGTGACAGCGCGGTCACCCGCTCACCTACCGGTCTCTGTGCACGGACAGTCGTGATAACTCGGTCACTCGTTCCCTAACGGGCTTTTTACACTGAAAAGTAGTGTCAGCTCGGTCACTCGCTCACCTACCGGGCGATCTGGACCGGACAGTAGTGTTAGCTCATTCACTGGTTCCCTAACGGGCTTTGTACAGTAGTGACAGCTCGATCACCCGCTCCCCTAACGGACTTTGTACACTGAACAGTAGTGACAGCTCGGTGCCGCTCACCTCCCAGGCTCTGTGCACGGACAGTGGTAGTAGCTTAGTCACTCGTTCACCGAACGGGCTTTTTGCGCCGGAAAGCAGTGGTAGCTCGGTCACTCGCTGACCTAACGGGCTCTGTGCACGGACAGTAGTGGTAATTCGGTCATTCGTTCCCTAACGGGCTTTCAAAAAGTAGTGTTAACTCCGTCACTCGTTCATTTCGTCACTCGGCATTGGACAGTGATGACTGCTCGATCAACCGCTCACTTAGCTATCCATAGTGGGAGTTCGGCCACTCACGCTATTTTAACTAGAATGGAGGCGAAGCCGAGGCGGAGGTGAAGCCGAGGCTGTTCGGGCTATTTTAACTAGAATGCAGTGGTATTTTGGTCACTCGCTGAACTAACGGGTTTGTGCACTGAACAGTGGCGGTAGTTCGGTCTATCGCTGCTCGGCCGGCACTCGTTTAGAAATTGTCCTCGATGACAACGTTGGATATGTAGTCGTTCTTGTCGAGTCTGCTAATTAAATTCATTCTGATATTTTAATTAGTGGAAAATACTTTCATTTTTTAACTATATTTTATTTGGTTTACGTGGCAACATTGCCTGGTTAAACATACCACGATGATAATTATTATTATAATAATTTAGTTACATTTGGTAGGTAGTCAAAGCTCTTCCGGTTTGGCGCTCGAAGCGGAAGAGGTTTTAAAAGAAATGAATACTATCCGGCCGGGTTTTCGACTACGGGCTTTCAGAATATAGTAATGGTTTTGGTCAGTCTTTTCTGGTTTGCCGGCTCTGGTGTATCCCATTCGTGGCAATATAGATCTGAATCTTGATATACGGTGTATGTAATATGTATTGTTGACAATAACAAACGCAAAACAGACCATGCAACAGCAAACATTCAGCACATCCATGTTTTGTTTTGTTAGCATCGTCGATAAAGTTCAGGAAAAGACTGGCTTCCGTGCACTTAATGCGGTGCACCAGTGCCGTGCTATTCTACTGTTTGCTGAGTACATCAGCCAGCCCGGTCAGCCATCGGAGAACAAAATATACACCGAAAGGCAATGCAGAAAAATTTATGTTCGTTTTTTTTCGGTACAAGTACGGTTCTCTTTTTAATGGACAGACATGCAATGTTTTATAGTAAGAGTATGTACGTATGTTTTATGTACCTGTACAGATATACAAAACATTTCTGACAACTTTTTTTGGTAGTAGAAATTTCGATGTGTTCTCCCATCGTCGGGATCACAATTGTGAATTGAAGAGCAATCATTTAGTACTGCCTAGCAAAGGAGCTCCGCATAAAAGAATTTAAAAAGGTTATGTAAATGAAAAAATATGTGCTTAACAAGTCGCTCATTTTTGGTTATTTAATTATGAGTTAATGTTACCGCTTCCGGACTCCACTGGGGGCACTGGAGCCCCGGCTGCTGGGAGGCTGGTGCTCTCTGTGATCGGCTGTGTGCGGTGACCGTGGGTCAGCGAGAAGCCGGCCGACCGGGGGTCGGCGGAAGAGAGCGACCAGTGCCCTGCGCAACCGAAGGCCCCTTTATTGAGCAAGTGCGAAATAACAGCAGAAGAAAACAGCAGGGTGTGGCGGGTGGTAAAAGAACAGAGATCACTCGCGCGCACACGATATCGAAGGAGCACAGACAGACAGCAATGAGAACTGCAGAACCATGCAATGCGAGCACACGAAACAGTGCCAAGTGCAAACAGCATGCCCGTGCATGACGGCGGCCGCTTTGATCTAAGCGCCACGGCGACGCGCAGCGCCACCAACAGACTCACGTAACTCGCAACACACGGCGAAAGGAGAGAGAGCGGGAGCGCATGTCCTCCAGCTAACATTAACATCAATTAACTCGTTAATTGTCATTTAATGTTACCGCTTCCGGACTCCACTGGGGGCACTGGAGCCCCGGCTGCTGGGAGGCTGGTGCTCTCTGTGATCGGCTGTGTGCGGTGACCGTGGGTCAGCGAGAAGCCGGCCGACCGGGGGTCGGCGGAAGAGAGCGACCAGTGCCCTGCGCAACCGAAGGCCCCAAACAAACCCCAAACAACCCAATATAGGGATGGATGCAGCAGTTTGCACGGTTCTGCGGATGTATTTGGAGAAGATTCGGAGTTCCGTTGGGAGTAGGCAAAATTCGGCTATCTTTACGGCGTCGTTACGTTGCCGATACGGAGCGGTGTAGCGTGATGATCCCGACGTGGTATGGCAGGATCCGCGGTATGTCAGGATCCGGTCAGGTTTTTCCGCGCAAGGTGCTACCGCCGCTGGGGGTCTGCTTGCCGTCGGAGTAGGCGCACAGGAGGTGTTGGCCTTGCATGCCGCCCGAGGAAACTGCAACCACCGGAAAATGGAAAATAAAAACGCAACCGCCGCTTGGGGTCTGCGTGCCGTCGGAGGCAGGCGCACCGGAGGTGATCGCCTAGTATGCCGTCGAGGAAGGTGCAACCGCCGCTAGGGGTCTGCTGGGAGTAGGAAGAGGGCGCCGTCGTTGCTAAGAGACCTGACTCCCGTCCGAGGAAGTTGCAGCCTCGCTGGTGGGTCTGCTTGTTGTCGGAGGTAGGCGCACCGGAGGTGATGGCCTTGTATGCCGTCCGAGGAAAGTGCAACCGCCGCTAAGGGTCTGCTTGCCGTCGAAGGAAGGCGCAGCCGACATTGATGGGCCACTGAACCTATTTGCCGTCGGAGGAGGGCGCCGCGGTTGGAAGGGGGCCTGTCTGCCGTCCGAGGAAGATGCAGCCGTCATTGGTGGGCCATTAAGCCTACTTGCCGTCGGAGGAGGGCG